AACTACAGATTTCTGATGTACAGCCTTCAGATGCAGGAACCTATACACGTTTCCCATCAGTAGTACAAGAACAATGGATATTGAGCATAGAAGATAATTCTTCATGCATTCCCCATTTATTTATTTATTTATTTATTTATTTATTTAAAAGCTTTCTTAGGAAAGCATCTGTTATTGCAGCAAAGAAGGTAAAATGACCTAATAGATTACTTAATTCCCAGATTTCACACTGAAATACTGAATGTTCAGGTGTTTACACACTTTTGGACATACAGTGTATTTTACAAACAACACGTTTGTAAAGCTAAAAGTGGAAGCTAAAAAAAATAATAAAAAGAGGTCTAGAATTTTAATTAAACAATAAATCAAATATGTTTTCAGAGTTTCTAAAAAGTGAGCACTGAGCTTGACTGTCTAATAAAAGGTGGAAAAGAGTAAATGCAATATTCTATTCCATCTTTTATTAGGCAGTCAAGCTCAGTACATCCTTTTAAGAAACTCTCAAAGCCTTTAGACACAGGAGTGTGTATGTTTCCCATCACATGTGCAGTGGGCACTGACCACAGAAGTTTTTGATTGATTGCTTATTTAAAGTTTTTAAACCTGATTCTGTTTCCAGTTTCTGAGAGTGAACCAGAGCTGTGCAGAGAAACGTTCCTCTATATCGTCCCCTCACTTACAGGAGCTGTTGCACTGTGTTTTATTATCTGCTCTGTGTGGATTCACAGGTGAGTGACCAGTACAGCAGATTCAGAGAAACTGTCCAGTGACCACAGAGGCTCTTTCATTTATTCTAAATAATATGTTTTTTATTATTATTATAATTATTATTTTTTACTATGTGTTTGGAAAACATTCCCCTCATAAACCACTACAAGGAGTGGTAAATACTTAAGTAATTGTGCTTTCTTACTATACTTTGGAGATGTGTACTTCAGTATTATTAAAATTGAAAAGCCTACTTTACTTTGACTCAATAACATTTTCAGGAGAAAAAATACTCCTTATCTTTTTTCATTTAGACCTTTAAAGTACTCAGAACAAATCTCCAGGAGACTTTTCCTTTTGTTCCTTTTGCCAAAGAATAGCTGTTCATTTATTATTTTTTTATTCATATGTGTGTAAATGAAACTGCCCTTATAGTTGCTAATCCACATTTGTGCAAGAAACAGTACTGCCCTGTCACTGCACTACACACAGTTTGCAAAAAAATTGATTTGCTAGTCTGGGTAACATAAAGCGTGATCAGCTGGTGTGCAGTGTTAAAGGTCAGCATGCATGGACTCTTAAACTTGAAGAAAATTCAATTTACATTGTGTTCTCTTAACACTAGAAGTCAATAGTCACCCTAATCTTTCCTGTAAATACATCCACAGAACCTCTCTCAAACTGCATTCAGGTCTTTACTTTAAGTTTATGAGTTAAACCATTTACTTTTGAAATTCAGATACTTAAGTTTATTGAAATATTGACTTTCCTCAAGTATTTTCTGGCTCCTTATGTCCACTTTAACTGAGTAAGATTTTGACACAGTGCTCATGTGTTAATTAATACCTCAAATATAGATTCTCTGTACTGTACCTTGTTTACTATCCTATCACCACTGAAAAGTAAACAGATACATCTGACTCTTATAAATATTTTGTTTACCTGTTATTAAAATGTTGCTTTATAAAAATATACAAAAGCTGGTCTCTATTTCTACATGACTAGCTTCAAAATTTGTTTTTCATTACAACCCCATTTTCAAAAAAGTTGGGACGCTGTGCAGAATGTAAATAAAAATAGAATGCAATGATATGCAAATCATTATCAAATCGTTAAAACTCTAACACACAAAGACGAAACCATATATAAACAGGATCCAGAGACACCGCCACCTTTTCTGGGCCTGAGCTCATTTAAAATAGACTGAGGTGAAGTGGAAAGGTGTCTTGTGGTCGGAAAAATCAACACCTGAAATTCTTTTTGGAAATCATGGATGCTGTGTTTTCAAGGCTAAAGACCACTCAGCTTGTTATCAGTGCACAGTTCAAAAGCCAGCATTCATGATGTTATAGGGGTGCATTAGTGCACATGGCATGGGAGACTGGCACATCTGTGAAGATGCCGTTAATGCTGAATGATAGATACATGTTTTGGCAACATATGCTGCCATCAAGACGATGTCTTTTTCAGGGAAGGCCTTGATTATTACAGCAAGACAATGTCAAACCACATTCTGCATGTATTACAACAGCATTGCTCCATAGTATAAGAGTCCAAGTGCTGAACTGTTGAGCAGCTGAAATCCTATATCAAACAAGAATGAGAAAATATTTCTCTTTCAAAACTACAGCAGTGTCTCCTCAGTTCCCAAATGCTTACAGAGTGCTGTTAAAAGAAGAGGTGATGAAACACAGCGGTAAATATGCCCCCGTCCCAACTTTTTTGGAATGTGTTGTTGGCATCAAATTCAAAATGGCTATATATTTTTCAGAAAGCAATAAAATACCTCAATTTCAATGGTTGATATGTTGTCTTTGTAGTATTTTCCTTTAAAAATACGGTTTACATGATTTGCATATTATTGCATCCTCTTTTTACACACAGCGCCCCAACGTTTTTGGAAATGGGTGTGTGTGTGTAATAGGTAATATGTAATATGTAATATCTACATACTGATGATGTTCAAATGACATAACAATTAGAGTAATATGCCATTATTACAGTTTCATCTTCATTTATGATGACTCGGCACAGAGACATGCTGACTTCCTGTGTAAGTTTCTCACCAAAACCAACATGGGCCCATCCACCCCCACACACACACATGCCACTCCTACCACTTCATTCAGTGTCACAATGCCTTATGCAATAATTACTGCACATGATGAGGTCAAAATGTGCTGTTCTCCTGCTTTTCTGCATGCCAATCTCAGTTCCCTGTCTGTTTAACAGGATTACACCAGCTACAGGGTTGCTGCTAGAGAGCTGCTGATATCAGCATCTACAGCTGTTTTTCTCAACACCTCTCCTGACTGGAAAAAAAAAAGTTTTTACACATTTGTAAGACACATACTGACAGTCTGGTGAGCGCCTAAATGTCAGTATGTGTCTCAGAAATGAAGTGGAGTGATAACTTGATGTTCAGAATTTTAGCTGTCTAGGATGAAGGCGGTATATTGTGTGTCTGAAACTAGTTCTGATAGCAGTTCATTGTTTTATGACATCTAAAATGAATTTAAAGTCTTTGATATGAACTTAAAGCACTGGCTGAAACAAAAGCAATTCTGCAAACACAGAGCAAGTTTTAATTGAAATACATACACAAATGCATATTTACATATTCAAACATAGGTGATCACATAAGCACAAATGCCCATACGGATGAAACTTAGTTACATATTAACATTTTAGTTTTTTTTTTTTTTTTAGTCTTGATTCCCTTTAAAAGCCTAACCAGGAATGTGTCAAATGTAAATGTTTGCTCAGCCATGTTTATATGAACAGCTGTGTTTTTTCAGTGTTGGATTCTCAATAAAGTCCTACTCTACATCTGTAATTACAGCTATACAGTATTACAGCTCTACAGTATTACACCCAGGTGTTCTCCTTATGCTTTTATAAGTGTGTTGTTCACGTGGGTATTGTAAGTTACTTTTCATATCCTCTTTCGCTTTCACACACACTAAAAGTGCACGTGCAGACATTTTACAGGGCATTTCGACTTCTCCATTCCCAGTTATGAGGGCCTCAGCTTTACAGAATGTTTAGTGTTCTCTCTGCTTATAAACACCCCATCCAGCAGCTATAACAGCTTCCACTATTCCAGGAAGCTTTCTACAAGATTTTGAAGTGTGTCTGTGAGAATTTTTGCTCATTTATCCAGAAGAGCATTTGTGAGGTCAGACACTGATGCTGGACGAGAGGGCCTGGCTCGCAATCTCTGTTCCAGTTTATCCCAAAGGTATTCAGTGGTGTTGAGGTCAGGGTTCTGTGTGGGTCAGTCAAGTTCTTCCTCACCAAATACACCCAACAGTGCCTTTATGGTCCTTGCTTTGTGCTCTGTGCACCAGAAACAGGCCTTCCCTAAACTATTCAAATTGTTCAAAATGTATTGGTCTGCTGAAGCATTAAGATTTCCTTTCACTGGAACTAAGGGTCCTAGGCCAACCCCTGAAAACATCCCCATAGCATTATCCCTCCTCCACCAAACTTTACAGTGGGCACAATGCAGTCAGCAGGTAATGTTCTCTTGGCATTCACCAAACCCAGACTCGTCCATCAGACTGCCCCATAGAGAAGCTTGATTCGTCACTCCATAGAATATGTTTCCACTGCTCCAGAGTCCAGTGGCGGCGCTTTACACCACTTCATCCGATGCTTGGCATTGTGCTTGATGATGCAAAGCTTGCATGCAGCTGCTCAGCCATGGAAACCCATGCCATGAAGCTTCCAGCACACAGTTTTTGTGCTGGGGTTAATGCTAGAGGAAGTTTGGAACACTGCAGATACTGAGTTTATGCACTATGCACTTCAGCAGTCAGCAACCTGCTATGTAATTTTACATGGTCTGACACTTCGTGGCTGAGTTGCTGTGGTTCCTAAATGCTTTCACTTTTCAATAATGCCACTCACAGTTGATTATGGAATATCTAGGAGGGAAGAAATTTCGTGAACTGACTTGTAATGATGGCATCCTATTACAGCACCATGCTCGAATTGAGCTCCTTAGAATGACCCATTCTTTCACAAATGTTTGTAAAGGCAGACTGCATGGCTAGGTGCTTGAAGATACAGGAATTGAGTCATGCTGTAGATATCTCTATTTCAAATGAGGACTTAATCACAAGCTGTAGTCTACAAAGTTTCTTTCCAGGCACGTTTCTCTTTAATAATCAGTTATTGGTCTCTCACCTCCCTTCTGACTCTGAGGGGTTGTGGTCTGATGTTCTGCTTTCAGAAACCCACTTCCTCCATCTCCACTCTCTTGTGTATCTGTCAAAACTTCAGCAGATATCTAATCTTACACAGCGCTGAGAGAATAAGATAGACACATTTATTTTATCACACGAGGACGAGGAATGAATCAGTTATGGTGGTTCTTCAGGCTGGAATGTTGTGTCTGGGTCCTTCAATCATCATCATCTTTCTTCTAACTTGTGGAGGTAATCATTTCATATGTGTTTGTTGTATTAGCTTCCATTTTTTTTTACATCAGAAATAGAACGTATGTAAATCTTAAATGTCTGGTAATTGTGACTTAAGGGTCACCGAACTGACGTATTCAAACACTGAAGAATGTGAGCTGAGAATACAGATTATTCTGAGCAGACAGATAATGCTATTCAGTACTCTTTCTTTATTCTTTTATGAATTCATTGTTTGTTTTTTGTTCGGTCTGATGTCGATTCATTTTATTTGCATTTTAGTTCAAATGTTACAATTTGTATAAAATAGGTAACTGGCTTCTATCATTTAGTTATCATTTAGTACAGTATTAATGAAAATGTCTGTCATTACTAATTCAGCTGCTCTCCATGCTGTTACACTCACATACACTCCTCACTCCTTAAGCTGTTAAAAATAAAACACAGCTTCTGTTCTTCCTGCAGATTCTACTGATGGATTTAATAAAAATATTCATACAATCAACAGAAATGCTTCTCAGGGAGAAACTGTTGTTTTTCACTGTAATGAAAATGAAGATAAAGTAGCTGATGTTGGATGGCGTAAGGAGGAGATTCTTCTTTTTATCTACAGCCCTGTTATTAACCAAACTGTGACAAACTATACATCAAACAGAATGTATGTCGATCCCAACAATCCACGGAAACTACACATATCTGATGTACAGCCTTCAGACGCAGGAAACTATACATGTTTCCCACTACAAGTACAAGTACAGTGGATACTGACCATAGAAAGTAATCCTCCTTTTCTCTCACACAGAAAATACTTTTTCATGTACATAACTTATGTTCAATGTAGATCATCTTTTAGGATCTCATTTATTTCATCTAATTCTGTTTCCAGTTTCTGAGAATAAACCAGAGCTGCTCAGAGATATATTTGTCTACATCACATCCTCAGTAACAGGAGCTACTGCACTGTGCTTTATTATCATCATCTGCACTGTGTGGATTCACAGGTGAGTGACCATCACAACAGATTCAGAGAAACTGGCCCACAACCACAGAGGCTGTTTTTTACTGTATATTATTATTGTTGTTGTGTAGGTTTTTCTTACTATATGTGTAGAAATATACATCGATCAGGCATAACATTATGACCACCTCCTTGTTTCTACGCTCATTGTTCATTTTATCAGCTCCACTTACTATATAGGAGCACTTTGTGGTTCTGCAATTACAGACTGGAGTCCATCTGTTTCTCTGCATACTTTGTTAGCCCCCTTTTACCCTGTTCTTCAGTGGTCAGGACCCCCATGGACCCTCACAAAGCAGGTACTACTTGGGTGGTGGATCGTTCTCAGCACTGCAGTAACACTGATGTGGTGGTGGTGTGTTGGTGTGTGTTGTGCTGGTATGAGGGGATCAGACACAGCAGTGCTGCTGGAGTTTGACTGAGAATAGTCCACCAACCAAAAATATCCAGCCAACAGCATCCTGTGGGCAGCGTCCTGTGACCACTGATGAAGGACTAGAGGATGACCAACACAAACTGTGCAGCAGAAGGTGAACTACTCACTATATAGTATAGTCCTATATACTCCTATATAGTAAGTGGAGCTGATAAAATGGACAATGAACGTAGAAACAAGGAGGTGGTCAAAATGTTATGCCTGATCGGTGTGTGTGTATATATATATATATATATATATATATATATATATATATATATATATATATATATATATATATATATATATTTTTTATTATTATTATTATTATCATCATTATTATGGTTATTATTTCCTAACAATGTCCCTATCACCATTAGAGTCCATATTCATCAATAATATTAATACAAAACTGTGGTCCTTTTATGTGGGGTCTTAACCTAATTCTTGCCTTCAGACCTGATTTGTGCATGATACAGTTTTAAACATCTAAGATTTACTGTTTATTTCTGTGCAGCATTGAAAACAATACAATGATAATACTTATAATACAGGAGAATACATTTTATATACTGTTTAAAAAGTCGCAAGTAGGAACTAAAACAGTGTTACAGTTTTACCTGCTGAGAGAAGCATAAAAGTCAGAGGTGCAAACATACATAAAAACAGAATGCAATGACGTGCAAATCATTTAAACCCCATTTTTTAAATTAAAATAGTACAAACACAACATATCAAATGGTAAAACTGAGAAATGTTATTGTTTTTTGAAAAGTATATGGCCATTTTGAATTTGATGTTAGCAACACATTCCAAAAAAGTTGGGACAGGGGCTTGTTTACCACTGTGCTTCATCACCTCTTCTTTTAACAAAAGAAGTGTTTGGGAACTGAAGAGACCAATTGTTGTTGTTTCGAAAGTGAAATGTTTTCCTGTTCTTGCTTGATATAGAATTTTAACTTCTCAACAGTTCAGGGTCTCCTTTGTCATATTTTTCACTTCATAAGGCGCAAATGTTTTCAGGGTGACTTCAGACAGGCCAATTAAGCACCCGGACTCTTAGTACGGAGCCGTGCTGTTGTAATACGTGCAGAATGTAGTTTGACATTGTCTTTCTGAAATAATCAAGGCCTTCCCTGAAAAAGACGTTATCTGCATGGCAGCACATGTTGCTCCAAAATCTGTATTTGTCATTCAGCATTAATGGTGCCCTCACAGATGGCATGCACACTAATGCCCCCCTATACCATCATGGATGCTTGCTTTTGAACTGTGACTGATAACAAGCCAGATGGTCCCTCTTCTCTTTAGCCCAGAGGATGCACCGTCCATGATTTCCAAAAAGAATTTAAAGTTTTGATTCATCAGACCACAGGACACTTTTCCACTTCGCCTCAGTCCATCTTAAATGAGTTCGGGCCCAGAGAAGGCAGTGGCATTTCTGGATCCTGTTTATACATGTTTTTCGTTGCATGGTAGAGTATTAGCTTGCATTTGTGGATGCAGTGATGAACTGTGTTCACAGACAGTGGTTTTCAGAAGTGTTCTTGAGCCCATGCAGCAATTTCCACTACAGAATCGTGTCTTTTTTTAATGCAGCGCTGCCTGAGGGCCCGAAGATCATGGTCAGACTATATTGGTCTTCAGCCTTGTCCTTTACATACAGACCATAGATGATGAGTTCTTTGTTATTTTACATTGAAAAACGTTATTCTTGAATTGTTGCACTAGTTTTTCACAGAGTGGTGAAACCCTCCCCATCTTTACTTCTGAAAGACTCAGCCTTTCTGAGATGCTCTTTTATACCCAATCTTGTTACTGACCTGTTGCCAATTATTCTGATTAGTGGTAAGATGTTCCACTATTTATTTTCTTTTAGTATTACACAACTTCACCAATCTTTTTTTGCTTTGTTCCAACTTTTTTGGAACGTGTTGCATCAAATTCAAATTGGGCATATATTTAAAAAAAACAAAAAAACAATAAAATTTCCCAGTTTCAACATCTTTGTACTATTATCAATGAAATATAGGATTTAAATGATTAGCCCATCATTGTTACAGTACTCTTTGGATGCATGTCTGAAAAATTAAACTCTCTAATACAGTGTATGATTTCTGTTTCAGGAAACACAAAACAAGTAACAAGGAAACTGGGGATGAGCTTGTGAGTTATTTCTTTGCATACATATTTAAATTATATATGTGGTGGTGGCCATATCAGAGCTACCAGCTACATTATAGGTGTACCTAAAGACTTCTGCATCTTGTAGAACTGGTTGCACTTTGTGAAACATCTATTTTGGCACCATCATTGTGGGTAGAAGTTGGACAACTGCTAACAGCATGTCTTTATGTGTTTCCATATTTCTGTATTACTGCATAAATTTTCTGTTCCTGATTACAAGGCTGGTGCTAGGATTATAAACACATGTATATGAAGTGTCTACCTGTGCCAGAAGAATAAACTTGATTAATTCTTATTTAATTGCAGTGCTGGGTAGATTACATAAGAAATGTATTTCAGAACTGTTTGTCCATTTTATCAGCTCCACTTACTGTATAGGTGCACTTTGTAGTTCTACAATTACAGACTGTAGTCCATCTGTTTCTCTGCATACTTTGTTAGCCCCCTTTTACACTGTTCTTCAGTGGTCAGCCCATGGCCCTCACAGAGCAGGTACTACTTGGGATCATTCTCAGCACTGCAGTAACACTGGTGCGGTGGAGCTGTATGTTAGTGTGAGCTCTTATTATAAACACACTGACAGTGAAGCTCCAACAGTGGGCTTCTCTCACCACCTGCTGGTCAGAAATGGTGTAGCTTTCCAAAGCTAATTTAGCAAAGAACGTTTACATTATTTGGAGGTTCTTAAAAGGTCCCCTCACACAGCTGATTTACAAAATGGTTCTTTAAAGAACAATTCATCAAAAGATTGTTTAGGGAAAAGTGGTTCTACTTTAGTGTCACTCCAAAGAACCTTTTTTAGCTGTTTTATTCATAAGAGTGTACCAGACTGTGAGCATCTCTCCAACATCTGTCTGTATTGAGGGACAGATGTATTATTTAGTAGGAAGAGCAGGAAGATGCAGGAGGAACCACCATTTTATCAATATATATAGTTCACAGTCGTTTAATAAATTCAGTTTTGTTGGTGCTAAAATCTGAAATATCACAAAAAACTTACAATACTCACATATACCTACTGAGATCAATCAATCCCTGTGTAAAAATGTGATGAGTGACTATCTTATACAGTATTGAGCAAAAGTTTTAGGCACCTGAGAAAATTCCATTTAAAAAGTTGTTTATTTTGTCTGTAAGTCTTTATTTGCTCAGAAAAACACTAATATTACAATAAATACACATAATATTAATACAGTAAGTAGTGATATGTGTGTTTATGTATGCCAATAACCATTTTCAGCTCAGTAGTATTTGTAGTTATTATCCAGTAGCTGCTTTGGCTGATCAGTGCTTTGTTAACTTAACTCAGGTGTGCTGGAGATGAAATTTAACTAACAAATATGATAAGACACTGAGGAGAAACCTGCAACCAAACCTTGTTTCAAACTAGCTCACAAGATTTCAACTTGTTTTAAGAGCAAGAAATTCCTGTTACTTTTTACTGTATTTATGTTTATCCATATTTATTCTAATATAATACAGCATTTTTACAAGCACAAATTACTGCACTACTGTATACAATAGCCTGTAAACAGTGTTGGACTTAATTTTGTACTAAATGTACAACCCTATTTCCAAAAAAGTTGGGATGCTGTGCAGAACGTAAATAAAAATAGGATGCAATGATATGCAAATCATGTAAACCATATCTTTAAAGGAAAATACTACAAAGACAACATATCAAATGTTGAAACTGAGAAATGTATTTGTTTTTTGAGAAATATATGCCCATTTTAAATTTGATGCCAACAACACATTCCAAAAAAGTTGGGACAGGGACATGTTTACCACTGTGTTTCATCACCTCTTTATTTAACAGCACTCTGTAAGTGTTTGGGAACTGAAGAGACACTGATGTAGTTTTGAAAGAGAAATGTTTTCTCATTCTTGTTTGATATAGGATTTCAGCTGCTCAACAGTTCGGGATGTCCTTTGTGGTATTTTTCATTTCCTAATGCCCCAAATGTTTTCAGCGGGTGACAGGTCTGGACTGCAGGCAGGTCACTTTAGCACCTGGACTCTTTTAATACAGAGCCATGCTGCTGTAATACATGCAGAATGTGGTTTTACATTGTCTTGCTGAAATAATCAAGGCGTTCCCTGACAAAGACGTCATCTGGATGGCAGCATATGTTGCCAAAAGCTGTATATATCATTCAGCATTAATGGTACCTTCACAGATGTGCACATCACCCATTCTATGTGCACTGTTGGATCCCTATATCATCATGAATGTTGGCTTTTAAACTGTGCACTGATAACAAGCTGAGTGGTCTTTATCACGGAGGACATGGTGTCCATGATTTCCAAAAAGAATTTCAAATGTCGATTTGTTGGACCACAAGACATTTTTCCACTTCACCTCAGTCTATTTTTAAATGAGCTTGGGCCCAGAGAAGGTGGCAGCATTCCTGGATCCTGTTTATATATGGTTTCTTCTTGGCGCTTTAGAGTTTAATCAGTATTTGTGGATGCAGTGACAAACTATGTTCACAGACAGTGGTTTTCAGAAGTGTTCTTGAGTCCATGTAGTGATTTCCACTACAGAAGCATGTCTGTTTTTAATGCAGTGCCACCTGAAGGCCCAAAGATCATGGCCAGCAAATACTGGTTTTTGGCCTTGTGCCTTGCATACAGAGATTTCTCCAGATTATCTGAATCTTTTAATATTATTATGTACCGTAGATGATGAAACGCAAAAGTTCTTTGCTATTTTATGTTGAGAAACGTTATTCTTGAATTGTTGCACTATTTGATCGTGCTGTCTGTCACAGAGTGATGAACCCCTCCTCATCTTTACTTCTGAAAGACTCAGCCTCTCTGGGATGCTTTTTTATACCCAATCATGTTACTGACCTGTTACCAGGTGTTTTTTTTTTAGCATTACACAACTTTACCAGCCTTTTAATGCCCCTGTCCCAACTTTTTTGAAACGTGTTGTTGGCATCAAATTCAAAATAACATTTCTCAGTTACAACATTTGATATGTTGTCTTTGTACTATTTTTAATTAAATATAGGGTTTAAATGATTTGCACATTATTGCATTTTGTTTTTATTTACATTTTGCACAGCGTCACAACTTTTTTGGAAATGGGGTTGGATTACACAAAAACATCTGCAAGCTAAATATTAACTATTAAAATGTAAAAAAGTTGCAAATGCATGTAATAGACTAATAGACTGTCAGCTGATTCTCTTTTTTGTTACCTTTCTGGTATTATGTGCTTCTGTTTCTTTTTGCTGATTTGGATGGTGTGTTTTTTTATTCTGAAATTTGCTTTCTTTGTTTTTAAGTTTTGGCACATTTTTTCAGGTGGGAAGGAGATGACCACAATAAATGGGTCTTGTTCAACTGGAATTTGGCATGACTCTTCAGAAGTTCCTCCATGAGCAGTTAAATCCTGATAGAATAGGTGTATTAAAAGTCTGTTTTGATCAGACAAAATGTTTTATAGGGTTTGAAATCAGCTGGACGTGCAGCATTAACTGTCCAGCAGATATTGTTAGATGGGATGTCACTCAGGCTAAAAGCTTGCAGCATGTTCCTGGTGGTCTTTTTGCATGTGCTTATTTGGTTGTTTGTTTTTCTTTTTTAGTTAGACACTAAACAATGCGATTACAAATTTTATGTGATACATTATTGTAATTTAAAGTTCAATCTTAATAATCATCCCATAAGAGAGAGCCGCCTGGATTCTTTTTAAGGCAGAACAGGTGTTTGGTTCCTGTGTTCATTTAGAGAGAGAAACAGAACACAGAGCAGTTTACACATCTACATGTTGTGTGAGGTTTCTGACTCTGCATGATGTACAGTTATATATATAACACACACAAGACTTCTGTTTGTCTGCTACTGTTTTTAGCTATGCCATGTACTTTTGTTCACTTTTATAGATAACAGTATATCATAGTGTCAGAAACCACATAAGCATTTAAAACCATTTATTTAATCTATTTAGTGTGAGGGAATTAAGCTTTCACTACTTGATAGATATGTTAGTTTTGTATCTAAAAATTCATTACTTAGGCCATAGCTTTCATCAAATATGTCTTGGCTGATCAGGTCCATTTAGAGTAAAGGGGAAACTACACAAATCATTTTTTTGCTCAGCTTTCATTTTAATATTTTGCTTGCATATATTGTAAACTGGTTTAGTCCATTTGACACAAAGTTAACTCTATCATGCTATTTATCATTTGTTTGACAATAGCAAACACAAGGAGGAGGAATGGACCCCATTCAGAACAGCCAGTATTTTGAGAGGTTTAACTCTATGTATGGAGAAGTCAAATAAGGATTTCACTGACAGTCTTACTGGAGTCTGGAATCTTACTGGTAAGCATTGAAAGACATTTCACAAAGAGTTAATTTCTTAACAGATTGTGTGTAAGATGTAGGAAAGGCCATAAAAGTTAATGTTATTATTATGTAGAAATAGAATAATTATGGAGAAAAAATATTTTGGTTCCTGAGTTCTGTACTTAAGAGGTGTCTGGATACTTTTGTCCATATAGGGGACAGTGTGGGCCTGTTTTTACAAAATGTATTTCAGTCCTCCACCACTGGGGGTTACCAAAGTCTCTGTTTAAGTGTTCGTGGGAAACTGCTTTCTTGCTGTTCCAACACCAACCTCAAGTAATCTGCTCAAGTAATCTGATACTTAGATTATCTGGGTGGACTTCTTTGCAGGGGAGGAGCCCTGCAACAGCAGACTTGGAAACATCTGCATTTAGATCCAGATCTATAATCATTTTAATTTACCAAAGAGTTTTACCAACAGTTACATCTTTAAGAGCTGAATTGTTGGACATGCATCAAGCCTAAAAGTGTTTCACTATGAAAAACTAAATATTGTCTGACCAATAAATGTTCTATTACATGCATTCTGGGAAATTAAGTAGATTCATGTTACCTACACAGTGTAAATAAATACATTTTTCCAGCTCTTACAGAAAATCTACAGTTTCTGAAGTGGTCATCAAGTCCTTTTCACAAGTGGGATAAATCAAATCAACCTTGTAATAGCAAGAGGACACCGCTCAGCCTTTTCTGGCGTAGAGTATAATCTACAGAGTACACAAGACAAGCTAAAGACTTCAGCATCTATTCAAGATGTTCTCTTATGATTTAGTGCAAATTATGTGTTGGAGCTCAGAAGATGCTGTTGTTTTGGAACAACTGTCAGTATCAGCTGTCATAAGTGATAAGAACACAAGCCTTGCTTTGAGTTTGAGAAGGTGAACCATTCTGTGCTCCAGAAAGACTCTTTCCAGTCGAAAGAGCAATATTCAAAGAACAACTTGGAAATGACGAGCAATATTAACTTTTAAACATGTATAAGCAAAGGAAAGTACAGCAGAACAGCCCAAATTTACATGCTGACAAAAAGCTGAAAAAGTATAATTTATCAAGTGTATTAATAATTTTACATGTTTTTGTTTAGACTATTCTTTGAAAGAATCAGATGAAGGGAAAAATGCAGCAACCGTCCCTGAAAACTCAAAGCAAAGTTTGTTTTGTGTTTTAAATATTTTGCGTATATACAGATACAAAAATACACTTTCCCTTCAGGTGCAATATAAAGCTTAACGCTGACAGCTTCATAATATTGTCAGTTTATTAATTTATTTGTGATTAATTATTTACTTATTTTGGTTCCTTCAGTCCTGTGACTGATAATGTTATTTGTAAAGTGCATTTCTGTCTTGCAGCTGGAGTGATGTGGCCAAGGAAACAGAATGTAGATAAAACTGCGAATGTATTTTATGTAATATTCTAAAATATGTCAGTCGTTGTCATGGGTGATTTTCATATTGTTTCTTTTTCCATTTCAGTTCAGTACACTGTCAGAAAAAAGGTACTGTGCAGGAACATATATATATATATATATATATATATATATATATATATATATATATATATATATATAAAATATAGTGGTGGGGGGAGGGGGGGGGAGTTGGCCCACTGCGGCCAAGCCAAATAATGTGGAGGTTGCCCCCTCAGGGCCAGCATTTTCTTGGCAGTGGTGGGACCAGCCTGTAAATTATGTCTCTGTCGCAGAGACAACTTTAAGGAGGAGTTGTTATTAAGTAGAAACATAGTGGGTGAAAGCAGGATACTACTTTCAAGTATGTCACTTATGGTTAGAGATCCTTGCTTCCAGAAACTGACAACATCAGGACACTCCCAATACATATGCGTAATGACCCCAAGGCACTGAGTGGACATAAGTCACAACCAGGGGAGAAAAATCCTATGAATAAATTTGTAATGTATTAATGGATGATCTGGATTTTTAGATGTACTACACAAGGTCTACAAGGTTCAGAAATAAATTTGTAAAGTTTAGAGCCTATCACTCTTGGAGGTCCTACTGAGGCTAAACATTTATGAGGAGGGTGTGTAGGGAGCACTGTTCCCTATGGGGCACCATATGCCCTCATGGCAGATCTTAAGCTGTGTTACAGAAAGAGATAGGAGAGGCTAATGGATGCTGTCTAATTTTCTGAGTCAGTGAATCAAGTGAGAGGGCAAAAAGTGCTGGTGAAATGGGCAGCCCTGACAAGTACCCCAAATACTGGAAACTGGGTGGAGCAAACGTGTTTTTCATTCATCAAGCTAAAAACAATATAAATGTACCCTAAAAGGTACAATGATGGTTTTAAGATCTAACTGTAACTGGGGGACGTACATATTTGTACCCTTTAATAACCTAATGTTTTAAAAAGAACAATAAAATAAAAAGGCTGGAAACCAGACAGGGTGTGTGGAGTCAATACAACTTAAAAATAAGTGCAATAGAATATGGCACAGTTATGCTCTCTAACTAAATGCACTGAAGACACGCTTAAGGGCACCACCCCATTATTTACACTTCGTAAGACATAGCGAAGCTCCCAAAAGGCCATTAATGTGTGAATCACAGAGTAGATTATAAAAATATGTAATAGAATACAATCAAATGTCTGGCAAATACTGAACTTTGAAAACAACTTTAAAAACATGCTTAATGATTTAGCTTAGTCTGTCCTTCATGAGCCTCCTTTTATTGACCATTTTCACACTTCCGTGTTCAATTATAATGTGGAAAAGTAAATAGTAGCGTTAATCAGCTTCCAGTGGCACTGTAAGTTTCCACAGTATCAAGTTAAAAAATGTCTTCCACTGAAAATCTCTGTTCGTCATGTTTCACTTGTAATCTCATAACCCCCCAAAAGACAGGGTCAAACTGAACTAGAGAGCGTGGGCTGTACAGCAGGACAGAGTTACTCACATTTGTGACTAAAAATGCTCAGCTCCAAGACAAATATTTATTCACTGTGTATTCACAGTCCTGGAGACTGTGGTCACAGAGCTTTGCTTAAAAACCTTGAGAAATAGACTCCCCACCAATCACTTGGGGATTATTTTACCGTAATGTAGACTTACTGATGTTGCTAATGTTTACATGGGCTGAGTAGAAAGAATTAAACCTTGTGGATTTTTTCTCCAAAATAAAGCCCCATAAGTGCAAGTCTATTTAGGGATGTGTGATGTGGCGTTGATCCTCTTCGCTCCTTCTCTGCTTTGCAAATGCCTCATGGTTCAGACATGGATTTTTTGCAGAACACGTTCCGCCGTCTGAACGCAGTTGGTCTGACACAGCGATGCACTTTCAAACACGGTAGCGCAGCACAGCCATCTGCCTCTGCATACCCCATTTAATGGCTCGCCCCTGAGCTCTGCACAGCAGTAAACAGCGGCAGACGTGCAGGCTCATACAAAATTCAAATGTTCTTAAAGAGTAACTACACACTACTATTTTCAGCTAACTCCACCCATGGCTCAACTTTTAAATGTTCAATGGGGGGGTTTGCTTTTTACAGTGTATCTGTAGCATTGACTAGAGCTTTGAAACCATGTGCTGTCTCACTGGAATTTTCTGGAGCTTTGGATAGTGCTGTGGAATCCAGCAGTGGGTTGCAAGTGCTCTTGGGAGCCCTAGGCAGCACTGTGGGACCCTCCTCTGCTCTCTGGGTCTTTGTGTCCGCATTGTCCCGCTCAGCAACACAGGGACTGGAGTGAGATTAGTATAGCCCCAAAAATTCCTTGGGAAGCTTCCTCCTCTCTCAGCGCCAGGAAGAGGACTGGAACAGGCTTCAGAACTACCCTCGCAGTAACAAAACCACAATGGCCACTTTAGCTTCCTCAGACTGGAACAAATGCATTTACAGACGAAACATGACTTGAAGAAACATTTTATTGTCCATTATTTTACCATTAAAATGCCTTTATTAAGCTTAGCTGCCAGTTAACATCTGTGTTCCCAAAATTACAACACTTTTGAAACAGAGCGAACAGAGCTCTCTGTATTTGTTTCTTTCCACGTCTGAGTCACTCTTAAAATAAACATAAATTCAGTTCCACCCCACTTTATACACTATCTTTGGTGAGTCACATACATTTCCATGTAATTGAAGCTAATGTTAGCTAATCTTTTGTGTAGGCGATGAAAAGGGTTACTCAGATCTATATTTTGGTACTTTCCGTACCTGCAGTGTAACACAGCAGACTCAAGTTGTCCAGATGATGTCAGTTCCTCTGTGTCATTGTTGTGAGTATATATGTGACAGCAATGGGTTCAGTGGTAGAACTGGCCACAAACACATTGTGTATTTTTAACAAATAAAGCAGCGTCTTACAATGGTGTTTTAAATGTGTATTGTTGGTATTGCAGAGCACCTCCCCTGCAAAGAAAAACCATCCTGGCAGACCAGAGCTTCCGTGTGAGTTTAGTGTAGGAATTTAATTCTGCAGAACGGCAGTCTCTCATGAACACACTTGAATACAGAAGAAAGAGAGGCTTTAATGCCTCCTAGAGGTGGAGAACATAAATACATTTAATAGACCTTTTCACAGTCACATCTGGCTGTTAATAGTAGCATTATCGAATTTATGCCTGCACCATTTAACAGAGCGTCAATAGAGGGTCACCAGTTTTCAGCCTCCCTCAAAAATTTTCCTTCTGTCTCAGTTGGTTTAATAGGAGAGTGGTTGGCGTGTCTGGTAGTTCTTCCAACATGGACGGAAAGGCTAGTTTGACTTGGCCAAAGCGAGTCACACAAAACTTAGAGTAACTCCACCCTAAGACCTTTTTTCCCATTAACAGCTGAAATGCACTGCTCTGTGATAATAAAATATACTAGTCTGCCTTGAAATGTGAACTCATCTTTCCAAACTGTAAAAATATCATTTTTATCGTGGTCAGTTCAGCCTCCGCAGTGCCCCTCTGGTTCAACTCTGCTATAGGCGCGGATGACGTGTCTTCGTACCAAAGTACGATGACTCGTCATAGTATGCAAATCAATTAGTCAGTGTTACTGCCCCCTGATGACGCCCTACTTGTGCTGTGCTCATAAATATGAAAGAATAGGAGCCCAGAACGAGGAGGTACTCACGCGCTGAGCTAAATACCCCCAGCACTATCTCAGAAGGCTGCGATATGCCAGATGTCTGTACCAACTGTAAATAACTCAATTAATCTAAGCTTAGTTTGTAATAAAGATGGTGTTGCATCCGATTCACACTTCCCTTCACAACTCAAACTCTCAGGCGCACGACTCACTAAAGACAAATCTATGGCAAACAATACTGGAACAACAGAAAGCGAAACAGTACTGACTGTGTCAACCTTTTATCTGTACAAACTTTGTTGAACTTTCTTTCTGCTTTCCCCAGTTCCAGTGTTGCTTGCTGTTGATTTCTGTTCACTAAGTGTGCCGAGAGTTTGAGTTGTGAAGGGAAACATGAATTTGAGTGGGAACACCGATCAATAATTATAAATAAAGCATTATAAACAGAGGAACTAGATCCAAATTTGGTCCTCTAATTTAATGACTTTTGTAAAAAACAATCCTGCCAATATCACTGCCTATAGTTTTATAGTTCACAGTCAGCTATACTCTGTCCTTTATGAAGTCTCCTATTCTTCCTTATTGGTTATGCTCCTCTTTTAGTTATACTTTGCTTTTGTGTTTACACTCCTCTTTTTGATTTATGCTCCTTTTTTTGCATTTAAACTTTTTTTTTAATTTACTCTTTGCGTTGCTGTTTACGCTCCTCAGTTTTTGCCGTTTTTATTTATGCTCTGCTTTTCTGTGTTTATGCTCTTTTTTCTGTGAACTTCAGTTTTTACTCCTTTTTGATGTGGGGAAACAAGAGTGAGATGTGTCGTGTTGTGTACGTTTCACATCAGCTGGAGCCAACTTCAAAGCCTGACAGCACAACAGGGTTGAATGCTTATAGCAACAGAATGTGTCAGTTAGTTAATTAATCTCAAATACAGTACCATTCCGCTGGCAGCCTTCTGCAGCAGTAAGCAAGATTGAGAGTTCAATTTTTCTAAATTTTGCTGCGGAAAAATAAATCTGATGTTGACTGTTATGGAAATAACATTGTGTTTGTTTCTCTTCTGCTGCCAGGCTCTACACTCTGCCACCAAGTGTCCTGGCTTGCAGCAGTAAAAACAAACACGAGACTCATTAGAACAATTTCCCCTTGGCACCGCCTTAACTGGTACCCCACTTGTCGTCGGAGCAGCTGCTCGCACAAGCACATGGCTCCCACCTGTGAGACACTCGGATGGTGTTGGCGATGTAAAATCGCTTTTGTGCGTTAATACAAATTCACCGGCCAACACAGCTGCCTCTGTAAGAGAAGAGACCTTTTTCTTATTTAAATGGACCACCATACTATCATGTACACAATTTTTAAAATCCTCCAGTAGAACTAGCTCATGTAACTGTTCAAAACTCGTAACTTTAGACGCATTGCACTGCTGATCAAATAAAGCTCCCTTTTCCCTTGCAA